CAAAAGACTATCAAGAAATTCATACATAGATGTACATGCACTATGTCATCTTAATATATCATGAGAATGTCATCTTAATTTATCATAAAAATGATTAGACCAAAAACATGTTAATATAAAATGAGAGTTTCAAATCAACGTTTACTTCAAAAACTGATGCATGACATAAAATCACATAGATTAATCCTAAGCATTATCACATATCATATAATTATCATCCATAATGTTGCATACATCATTCAATATTTCAAAACATAACATGCAAGAAACCTTAGCAATATACTTTTCATGATCAATTTTTTAATTTTTCAAAGATGCTAAAAAGAAAAACATGATATAATTTTTGAAAAACAATTTTTTTATTTCCTATTCCTACTATCTAAATTAAGCACTCATGAAAAACTTCAAGTAATTTCAAAATAATTCAAGAGAGTTGAGTTATTTACCTTGTAGTCGAAGCCCATCAAAGCCCAATTCACTGTTTCGCCTATGGAAGTTTTTGATTCATCCTTGGTTGCCTTCCTCTTCTTTGGCCTCTTTCTCCGTTCAGGTTCATTGTTTATTTTAGATTTTTATTTAATAAACTTGTTAAGATTTAGTGTTCGAAGTTCAAGTTCATCATTGTCCTCATCACTTAAGTCATCGCTCAAGTGGTATTCATTTGTCCGGAGTTCCAAATCCTTCCTGTTCTTTGGAAGGTGATTTTGTTCATTATGTTAATCATATGCATTGTGCACCGTTTCATATGTCATCAACGAACCAATTAGTTCTTCAAGTGGAAAAATATTTAAATCTTTTGTTTCTTGTATTGCGGTTATTTTAGGATCCCACCTTTTTGGAAGGGATCTTAAGATCTTGCTTACGAGATTAAAATTCAAAAAAAGATTTACCAAGAACTCTTAAATTATTGACGATATCCATGAAACGGGTGTACATGTCGCCTATAGTCTCACTTGGTTGCATTCGAAAAAGCTCAAAATCATGCAATAAAATGTTAACTTTCGAGTCTTTGACTCTACTAGTTCCCTCGTGCGCGATTTCAAGTGTTTGCCAAATATCAAAAGCCGTTTCACACGTAGAAATCTGATTGAACTCATTTTTATCCAAAGCGCAAAATAAGGCATTTATAGCCTTTGCGTTTAAAGAAAAATACTTCTTCTCCAAATCCGACCATTCGTTCATCGGTTTAGAGGGAAGTTGAAAACCGTTTTCAATGATATTCCATAAATCCAAATTCATAAAAATAAAGAAAACTCTCATTCGAGTTTTCCAATAAGTGTAGTCCAATCCGTTAAACAACGATGGACGAACAACCGATAAGCCCTCTTGAAAGCCATGAAGAGTCATTTCTCTCGGGTGTAAATCCAAAATGAGAAATACCAGGCTCTGATACCAATTGTTAGGATCGGAGCGGCACTAAGAGGGGGGGTGAATTAGTGCAGCAGATTAAAACGTTGGTTTCGACAAATCTTTCTTGCAATAAAAATCGAACTTGAAAAGCTTAACTTGAACACGTGTTCGTAAAGGTGTGCAGCAAAGGTAATGAGGAAATAAAGCACGTAAGAAGGTTTGCAGTAATGTAAATAGCAATAAGAAAATGCAAACCAGAGATCACGCCAATTTTAAAGTGGTTCGATCAAATGACCTACATCCACTTGCGAGGCCCTCTTCGATGAGGCTCCCACCTTCCACTAGCAAATCTCTTGAAGGGGAAGGACAAATACCCCTCTTACAATCTTTTACAAGTGGTTCACACTCTTACAAATTTTCAGCAAGAAAGAATGAGGTGAACACTCTAGCAAATTGAAAACAAGACTTGCTAAGACTTTTCTAAGACATTTTTCTCAATCTATTGCTTCTCAAAAAGTTATATTCTCAACTGAGAATTGAGGGGTATTTATAGGCCTCAAGAAGATTCAAATTTGGGCTCCAAAATTTGAATTCTCTTTGGTTCCCGATGCTGGCGGTGCCACTGCCTGTCAGTGTCTGACACTGATAGTGTACTGGCGGTGCCACCGCCCAGCCAAGCGGTGCCACCGCCTATACTATTTCAGCTCACTGGTTGGGCTCCAAACTTGGCCCAAACCAGTCCGAACTCGGGCCCAATTGGCCCCTACTTGAGTTATAGGATTAACACCTAATCCTAACCCTAATTAACGTGCTAACTATGAATTTAAAGACATTTTCTAAGCTATTACAAGGTCCGCAAGTCAAGACTTTTTCTGGCGAGCTTCCGACGAACTTCCGACGAACTCTCGGAAACCATTCTACGGACTCCTGGCAAGCTCCTAGACTTCACGATTTGATCTTGGCAAGTTCCAATGAGCTTCTTCAGCAAGCTCCGATCTTTCTCGGCGAGCTCCGCGAACTTCCAACGAACCTTCCGGCGAGCTTTCGAAAAGCCCTTCGGCAAGCTCCCTACTCATTCTCGGCTAGTTCCGGCAGCATTCCCGACGAACCTTCGGACTTTCGTCGAACTCTCGAACTCACAACAAATCCTTCGCGCTTGACTCCGACACTTTGTTTCGCTTTATGTCTTCGTCATTATCGTAGTTAATCCTACACACACAAGCCAAAACTCTACTCCGATCTAGATAATTATTACAACGCGAATTGACATTCTGTTGCCCGGCACGTCATTGGTTGGTGCTTCGTCCGATTCTTCAGCGCATCGTCCTCTCTTGCGGCTTGTTGCCCAATTGACGGTTGACCTCTGCAACCCCGATATCCTTGGCGTAATTCCGCTCTTGGCCCGATGCCCGACGTCCGAAGCCTTCTGCCATCCAATATCCTAACGTGATCTCCTCCGGCGCAACGTCAATTCCTCCTGCGTTAACTATCTAATCCTGATCGAGTAGACTTGCATCACTCAAAATGCAGTTAAACATATAAACACAATCAATTAGTTTCATCATCAAAATCCGAGATTCAACAAATAAAACTTATAGTAGTTATTGAATAAGGAACCAACATCCATTAAGTTAAGGGTAATTGGATGTAGATCCAATACCCATTAAGGCATGATCTATTAAGGTTGGTAAAAGGGCTCTATATAAATATGAGAGGAGTTCAAAGGATCATAAGCTAGACCCCTATAGTCATCGCCCTCCTTATCTCCTCCCCTCTTCTTCCTCCTTCCGAGAGGACAACAAAAGGGACCGATCTCTCTTTATTTGTTGCTACGTGGTGGTGTGTGATTATAAAGAAAGAATGCGCTATGCGAGGAGGTGCATCATTGTTGTGTCCATCACATGGATTACCGCTAGAGAGGAGTTCGTGAGAGCTTTTTTATCCACAGACTAAAATATGTGATCTTCAGGGATATATGAGTTTTCTTACGTGAGAATGTCTCATACCCTTTATGTGATTTTTGTTGTTTCGAGTTTTACATTTTCAATTATCACACGATGATTCGATAAATTTATTTTAAAAAAATAATTTTTATTTTTTATTTTTTTACTAGGTATATGATGCTCCATAAGATATTTTTACCAAAGTAAAAAAAATAAACGGGCGTCGTTCACCAAAAACCCATAATAAGAGATATTTTTACCAAAGTAATAAAAGATATTTTAAGTAAAAACTAATTAGCGGGCGTCGTTCACCAAAAACCCATAATAAGAGTTTTTTTAAGCTACAATGGTCAAGTAATAGTGCATTAAGTCTAAAAATGACGGAATAATCGGTCGACGAGGTTTCTATTATTCCAAAGAAATACCCGTCATATTATGTCCAAGTAACAGATCAGTCCGCGATATCGTGTCATTTTAATATAACGGCTTACAGATAACGGGCGCCGTCCCGTTACAAACCCCCTGACGTTAAAAGTATCATCTCTATCTTCTTTCATCCTCACCATTCACCGCTCCGATGGCGGCTGCAATGGCGTTCGCCGCCTTCCACCCTTTCCCTACCCTCCGCCGTTTTCCCTTTCTCCGCCGCATCTCCGCCGCCACTGAGTTCAACATCTCGTTCGGCGCCGCCCCCTCACCCGACTTTAAGGAGGCGGTTCCTAAAACCCTAGTGCCGGACCCTTCCTCTCCGGACCCCTCCGCCGCACCCATCCCCATCCTCATTCCGTGGATTGTTCGCGGCGAGGATGGCCAGCTCACTCTCCAGTCCACCCCTCCCGCCCGATTCCTCCAGGCCATGGCCGAAGCTAAGATGGCGAAGAAGGAGAAGAAGAAGGTCGACAAGAAGAAGCCGTCGGGAGCGACAGCGACGGCTCCGTCTTCTCTCGCTTCGACCACATCGGCTCCCAAGTACTCCAAGGCCGCGAGAAGGTTTTACAATCAGAACATTCGGGAGCAGCCGCAGCGGCTCAGTAAAGTCCTCGCTGCTGCTGGAGGTAAATCACCCAACCCGTTGTTTCTATAATTTGGAGAAAAGCTTCAACTAATGTTCTTTATTATCAGCTCCTGGCTGCTGCTGGAGGTAAATCTAAGGTGTTATCTTGTGTATTTTCTCTTTAATTGTTTATTCTGTTTTAGTGGCATCAAGGCGGAGTTGCGAAGAATTGATTTTTGAAGGGAAAGTGACAGTCAATGGGTCAGTTTGTACTTCTCCACAGGTATGTTTTCTTCATTATTGTCTAGTGTAGTCCACCGTTGTATACCCTTATTCTTTTGTTAGAGTTAGTGGGAGATAGACTTAGGTCATTAGCTGCTGTTCTTTTAGTTATTTGTAGCTAATGTTTTTTAGATGTAAAAACTGAACTTCTGCTAATAAACTATTATTAAAAATCACTTGTTCGTATCATCTGTTGCATCTTCTTGTGACTTAAACCATCATAAAAAATTGATCATGGCTGCACTGAACAATCAGTTGGCTGCATGATCTATTGCAAACTCATGTGAGATTGAGGTTTTCTTAAGAGCATTGTGAGCCTGCAGTCTATGATAGCCATCAACTGTCAATTTTTTCTTTTTGTAAAATTTTGTTGGGTCAATGGGCAAAATTTCAGTGTGTAGTGCTATCAGTGATTTTTATCCTTGTTTACCATTTTTGAGATGGTGCTACTATATGTTGTATCCTTATTTCTCTTGATTGATTTTTGTGTTGTCCATATCAGTGTTGTCCTTTGACATCCTGACTAGCATAATTAAACTGTCCTTATTGTTTCTTTGTACAACATTAACTTGTAGTGTACTCTCTTAAATGCAAGCTTAAGCTTGTGATTTCTCATTACTTATTTGAACTTAATATTATATTGCTGTAGAATTTTTTTCAATTTTCTTTATCAGACACAAGTTGCTTCTTATCCTGTCTTTTACATTTTCCCATAGAAAAATTTCTTTTTTTTTAATAGGTACAACTGTGAGCCCAGTTTTTTTGAGTATTTAATAAAACTTTCTCATATGATAACCTCTTAACTTTGAATTTGCCTAAACTCTGTGAAATTCTTCCTATGGCAAAAATTGCCAGAATAATCTCATAAATGTATTGGATATATTTTTGGTGAGATGTAGACCCGGGTTGACCTTGCGAAGGATTCAATATATGTTAATGGGAATCGCCTGTCTAAGAAGCTACCTCCTAAGTTGTACTTTGCACTTAACAAACCAAAAGGGTTGGTAATTTGTGAATCATAATCCCTTCTCACTTACCTTTTAGTTTAATGTGCTTTTGTATTTAAGGTTATACTTTAAAGATGCAGGTATATTTGCTCAGGTGCTGAGGATTCTAAATCCGTTGTCTCCCTCTTTGGTGATTTTTTGAAGAGCTGGGTATGTCCATTTGACATTCCTATTATGGACTTTGGATGATGTCATTTGGCAATACAAGCGTATACTTTGTCTGGAAAAAAAATTATGCAAGTCTTCACACACATGCTTAACACAAAATAAGCCTGTAATGTTATACAAGAAATGTTGAAGCTTTGATTTTTTTTTTTTCCTTCTGTATACATTTTTATTGGTGTAGGTTTCTGTAAATGTTCACATTTTTTCATATTTCCAGAGTAAATCAAATCCAGGGCTCCCAAAGCCACGACTATTCACTGTTGGTCGCCTGGATGTTGCAACAACTGGCTTGATTATTGTTACTAATGATGGTACAAATAATACGGCATCATAGACATTATCCTGTTATGTTGCTTTTATGATTAGTCATTTGGAGTTCTATGTGCTAATAACTTGTCTTGCATTAATTCTTCTCAGGTGATTTTGCTCAGAGAATTTCTCATCCCTCATCTGAATTAAGAAAAGAGTATGTTCTTGCTTGATATTTATGCTTCACTTTAAGATAGCATAGATACATATCTTATTTACCACAAATGATTGTGTAGTTAATATTTGAAGAGTGGATCTCAAAAGTGTCTGTTCAGGTTATGTTCATGCCTCTAATAACCAGGGAAAGATCAATTGCAATTCACAATGAGCTCAATAGTTTGTCCTGGCCAGACTGACTGAGTTGTCTCAATGATGTATTTTTATTTCATTGAAGCTGTTATTGGAAAGCTACATATTTCGCTTTATACGATACATAAGTTTGATGGGGTTAATTGTATCCAAAATTGACGAAAAGCAATCATGCCTCATGTAAGTATGAAGCTTATTTTCACAAATTTCAGAATAGACATTGAACAACCTCTGATGTCCCCATTGTAACAATTCTTGGTCCTGCTTATGGGAAGTGGTTCTTTCAGTATTTTTTGTTTAGAAAGTGGATATAAAACTGCAGATGGCAAGGAGTTTTCGTACATCCATTTCCTAGAATACTGCTTTGTAGAAGTTTTAAATTGATGCTTTAGGTCAAGGACAGCGTTTAGGAAATCAAAATACTAAACATGTTTGAACTGGTTGTGTTTCTCTTGAAGCTGGTTGAGCTCCCTTTTAGTGATCATTATATTATAGAGCATGAACATCCAAAACTTATGTGGTGTGATAGTCTATTAGAAGCTTTGTTAAAGAAACCATGAGATATGATTGCTCTAGTGGAAGCTTTGGTAAAGTGTCCATATATACATTGACACCCTACACACTGGTCGGGATATTCTTCCAGATTAACTGAACATGTCACCTCTTCCCTTATTTTACCTTTTTTTTGTGTTTTTCTTCTTTCTCCCTTTTCATAATTGTTTTTGTGCCATACAACTACTTTCCTGGTTACAAATTTTTTGTTGCATTTTTGTTGTTCAGAAGTCATGAAAGTAACAGACCTAGCAACTTATTTCTGCAGAATGCGGATGTTCATTGTTTGCTTAATTGTGATATTTTTGAATTGGAACATTTATGTCTTAATATATATCGAATCTTAACAAATTATAGTACATCATTGTTTTGGTTTGATGGTAGTGCACCACTTGATAAGATTGAAATTTAATGTGATTGTTATACAAGACCTAGTAATCTCTTAAATATTTTTAAAGTCTCTTCCAAGCTTTCTTATTTTCTTTACATAGCTTTATTTTATGCATCTCTTCTGGGTAAGATTTATTTCAAGTTATTCATTAAGCTAATCCTTTTTCAGAATAACAGTTGATACTCAAACAAGGATCCTCTGTTCCTGTTATTTAATGTTTCAGCTTTAAATTCTTCAAATAAAGCCTTCCTGATTATATTAAATCTCACTCTTTTTATTGCAGATATATAGCAACTGTAGATGGTAAGATCAATAGACGACACCTCGGAGCTCTAAGTGAGGGCACCGAGGTTGAAGGTGTCCACTGCATTCCTGATCTTGTGGAACTACTGGCAAATCAGCCTGATGCGTCAAGGCCTAGACTTCGAATAGTGGTACATAATACTTTGTATCAGTTGAGTTGTATTTTAAACATTATCACATTATTAGTATCAATCTAGTGAAGGTATAGAGAAATAACAATAGATTCATCATACACAGATTGTCAGCCTTTATTGGTTTAGATACGTTTGAAAAAGGCAAAAGACCAACTATTTGATTTTTCCCCCCTTTTTAACCCGCATTTAAATTTTGTATAATTTTTCTATGATTATTTCATCAGTATTGATCTGAATTGTATTCTTGATGCATCAAGTATAACCAGTGTTTTGTAATGACTTTTGACAGGTTCATGATGGGAGGAATCATGAAGTACGTGAACTTGTGAAAAATGCAGGATTGCAGGTTTGTCTTTGTTTTTTTGTTTTTTCATTATATATTTTTTATTTCTTTTGTGACTAGTCTTGTCGTAGTTGCAATCAACAATTTTTCAAGTATCATTCTTCTAATTAGAGTATTTCTTTTTGTTGCTGAATTTCAAAGATTGGCTGCTTGATTCTGTGGTCAGTTAACTAGCAAATCTTGATGCCTCTTTTGTCTTGTTGATCACAGTAAGCTCATTGGTGTATTTCTCCTGCAGTTTCTTTGGAGCATTTTTCTGTAGCCATTTAGACATTTGTCCACAGAATTAACTTTCACATTTGTCCTTTAGGCACAGATCAAACTTGAGTGATTCTTCATGGGTATTTTAATTTATTCCTGGAGATTATTCTTGTTATAGCTTCATCAGATGGTGTTTCTATTAGTAATTAATAACATATAAAGAGCAATCTGTTACCTGACTTTGGCCTCTTGGTCTTTCTTATTCAACTACTACTAACATGATAGATTAAAAGGAATTCTAGTAAATAGCAATATGCTAATATCTAAGGCAACTGGTTTGGTTTGTCTTTCCACCCTTCATAGTGTATATTGTTGCCTACTTCACCCAAGATACTTCTTCATTTCACCTTTGTCATTGAATTATGAGCATATAGTAAAATTCTTATTCTATAATTGCAGCTGTTAGCTGTTTATAGAGTCAGTCCATATCTCAGATATGGTCTTTCTGAGAGGATTTTAAGTTCCTGTCTCTTGTAATTGACTAAATGGCAAGGTAGACTGCCAGATACATATAGGTCTGTTTGGGGATTGCCTAGCAAGTGGTCATCCCACGACATTGAATGCAGTATCAATATGAAGTGAAAATACATCTGGACAATAATTACTAATGCTATCTTCATAAGTACTGCTACTAATTATTAGAGTGAACTATTTTGTAGGGAATAATGCCACCGAATGTTTTGGTCTATTGGCTAAGATGATGGAATGCTATTCATAAAATATCCTGTCTCCCATCAGTATTTGAAAGACAAATTTGAGAATGAGTTTTTGAAAAAATTAGGCACAAGTTTTGAGATTTTAGACTTTTGTCTAATTAAAGCATCACTAAAGGGAATTAGTGGTGCTTTCAACTAGAAATTCATTTTCATTTGCATGAGGCAATTTGGTAACATGCTGGTACGTTGTGGAGAAAAGACTTTGCTGGTAGGTACAGGCGTTTTATAACTAACAAAATGTATGGCCACACCTCTGGCACAATGAGTAGCATCCTATTGATACTGTGCCAGCACTGTCAATATCGAGAAGCTTTAAGTAGGCTCTGGCTAATAGTACAGCGTTGGATCTATGCTGACTGACACTGGTTATGTTTGCAAAGAGTGCATTTGTGATACAGTACCAGCTGATCAACAGTTCTTTTCATAGTGAGTTCTTTGACCATATCATTTGCGATAAGAATATATATTGAACTTGAGCATTGAACTAAGTTTATGTTGTCAGTACCACTTAAAATTTCTATTTATTTGCAATTGTCCGCTCAATTGCGATCCATCTACACTATGCAATCTATATATTACCCTGAAAATTATCAAATATTTCATTTACCTTCCAAAGTTTAAAATTATACATGTACTGTTCAAATGGTATTTCTAAAGTTCAAATATGTACCTCTAACTGAAGCAAAACCCCACTCTTATGATATGGTATACTAATTTGTGTGTGTTTATATGTGTATGAAAACATAGATGGGAACATATGCTGCATATATCTATTCATCTTTGTGTATTCTATAAGGATTTGCTATTTAATTTAACATCAGGCGTGGTTGTTGAACCAAAAGCTTTTTGATACTTTTTGTTTCTTCTACTTTGTGTTTGCACTTGACTTTGTTGGCTAATTTAATCTATTTTGATATCGTAGCTTTATTCATTGAAGCGAGTAGGCATAGGTGGATTCAGGCTCCCATCAGATCTTGGGTAATTCCTTTTCTTGCCTATCTTTTGTTGCTAGTTATCTCCACTATATATATTATATATACACGACACCAACAATTTGCAATGTCCCTATATAAAGATGTTTCTCCAATATAAACAGCAGATTTTGCTTTTGTGCACCTTTATGTCTTACTGTTAGAGACTTGGTGGTTTATCCCCCGCTTGTTTCCATGGTCTAAGTATGATTTTATGCATATTTTAAAAGACATGGTAATTCACTAATGCAGATTGTCCAAAATTTTCATAAGCCTATGTGCATGGACAATGTTCTCCATAATGCATGTCCAACAACTGAGATGGATCTACAAAGCCGAATTTTTCCTCAATGAATATATTCAATAATAAAGATGTATAATCACAAATGGTTACCTTAAAGGATTAGTTGAATATTAATTGAAGATTTATTTATTTTGTAATGTTCATTGAATAGGCTTGGAAAGTATGTTGAACTTAAACAAGCTGACTTCAAGTTGTTGGAAGGGAACGCTCAAAAGAACACTTGAGTTGTGTGAAGGGTTCAGTAGTGATATTGCTTATGCTCCCAGAACAAGCATCGTATATGAACATGTGATCTTCATGTAGCATCCTTGATCCAATTAGGCATCACATTGAAATCATTTGCTGGTAAGCCTTCGCAACCATGGATCACATTGCATTGTAACTTCCTCTAGCTGCAAACCAGTGCTTTATCATTCATCTATTAATTTTATTCAGGCAAGCACTGTGCAACTTCAATGGTAACTGATGAACTTCTGAAAAGGATGGAGAAAAGATCCAGCTTAAACAGATGAGATATACTTATTGCTAACTACATGAAGCTAGTTGGAAGAGAGATAGGTTCATTGTAATCCTGTTCTATATGTCAATGTCTAAATGGCACATTGCTGTATGTATAGTGTCTTTGCACATTAATTGTCTTGTGCCTTTTCATCTTAGTTGTTTGTTTTCTTCATTCAATCTATGTCTCTAATTTAAGTTCTATCATCCATAATGAATGAACAAGAAAAGCTTTTAAGGAATGTGTGTTTTGGCAAAGGTAAATGGCATAGAGGAGATTGAATGTATAACCTTTTTATCGGCATTCAAGTCATCAACTCTTTGATATATTATCATCAAATTAATGTTTTAGATTTAAAATAAAATTTTAAGTCTTAACTTGATAAATGAATAAGATATATTAGTATTATTTTAGATTAAAATTTATTCGATGAGGATTAAGAACTCTAGGTTTTACTATTTTCTTGTATGCCGGTGGGTTGTATGTACACGTGTCCGCATCTCTGTAGTTCCAGAAATAGTTCACTTTCGTCGTCATGAAATTAACGAAAACAAATTAAATTAAACTCTTTTCAGACCCGAGTTATTGATGTAATCTCCATAATACCCTGTGATCAGTGTTTATATTATTTTATGTCATTTGGAAAATTGACTTAATAAAACAAGAAATATGTGGAACCATAAATTAGTCCTGTCAATACGATGGATTAGTGTAGCCATTTGTTCCGCACCGTCATCTCTGGGGCTTTATGATTCGGGCAAACGATGCTGGTTACTTCGTGTTTCGTTATTGGATCAGGGGGGTCATCCCACGCGACCGTCCCTTTCTCGAGGTCTACTGCTGTGCTCTACCGGTTTGGAGTTAGGGTTTTTTATCGTCGGCCGTGGATTGACGGAGAAGGCAGATGGCGGTCCACAACGGCTCCTGGGTCCTTCTCGGCTAGTACAACGGTGGCAAGTGAGCTCTCGTATTCGTTTAATTCCTCTTTCTCTCTTGCTAACTCGATTCCTTGCATTTATCTTTAGATCTTTTGTTGCCGGAATCGTCCGTGCTCGATCCGGATCCCGGCCATTGTTATCAGTTGTGGGAATCGTTTCGTTCCTGTGTTTCCTACCTTTACCGCTGAAATCTTGGTGAAATGATGCAACTTAGCTTAATTCTCCAACTCCGATTAGACTTCCACCATTTCGGCCCATGGCGGATCTTGAATCACGATACATGACATGTAGTCCATTGTTATTTTTCTTAAGCTAGCACATACCTTTTTCCATACCTACAATTATCTTCTTCTCCTTCTTCAGTCTTATCTTTATAACCATAATTTCTTTCTGAGTTAACTGAATGCCAGATTTTGAGATCTGACTTCTATATGTTGTGATTGCCAGTTTTGAAATGTTTGTTCTTTTATCTTTCATGTTAGTGAATAAAAACAATTGAAAGACTTCGAGAAGCGAGAATAATGTTGCAGCCAACATTTTCAAGATCAAACTTATGCTGCGGATGGATCTGTATAATTTTTGGCGTCATTTCATTTGTGGTATTTTGTTATGCTGCAATAATATCCAAGCTTCTTTCAGAATCAAGATGTCCGATATTATTTTCCATTCAAAATGACTGGTAAATGTTACGTATCTCAGTCCCATTGTGGTAAAATTGAGTTTAAGATAATTGCCGATGGATTTGGTTTAGATAAAGTTTCCAGTAATGCTTGTATGTAATATGATCTATATCTCTATCTTTGAAGTTGTGAGTTGTCACAGATATTTTGGAATCACTAGTAACTTCTTCCTTAAATAGGATTGATAAACACTTTATTTTGTGCTCTGGATGTTTTTCTTTTATAATCATTGGACATGTTTGTTTTACTTGTTGCAAATGTTCATATGAGGAAGATTATGATAATTGAGTCTTTAAAGGGTGAAAGTGAATTTTAAGAGAATTTAACAGTGTCAATTGCTGGGTGGTTTATAAATTCGCTTGCATTCTATGTATGTATATACTGATGCATATATTTGAAGAAAATAGTAATACTTAGCAAGTATCAGAATTATTTTGGAATTGAGCTACTATATGAAGATACAAGTGGTATGGATGAATATTGGTATTTGCTTTTTTGACATGTCACTAAGTATTTGTCCCCAGCTTGTCGTTGCATATCACAATCTTTTAGTGCCAGAACCAATATTAGGATTTCTAAGGCCGATGAGCTCCCAACAAGTTGAGGATATCTTCCAAGGCCAAAAAAAATCCAAATATTGGAATTGACTTTTTAGCTTGTCATATGGAAAAAGTCTAGAAATAATTAAAAATTCCATTGAGAATATGTAAAAACTTGCAAAGTCAGACAGAACTCAAGTTAGACATAGACCATCACAACAATCAGCCAGCATCAATTTTTCGTGGTCATATTACAGATTCACAGCACAAATATGGATCAATGACAACTATTCCCTCCCTAGTGGAAAAATTGGACTACAACAATCAGACAGAACTTGAGTTATACATAGACCATAACAACAATCAGACAGCATCAATCTTTTGTGATCATATCACAGATTCACAGCACAAATATGGATCAATGACAACTATTCCCCCCCTATTGCATAAATTGGAATACAGAGTGAAGCAAAAGAATCAGAGCTCCGTGTAAAGTAGTTTGCTTTCTGGTACACAACTGGTTGAAAATTAGATAGTTTTTTTTCTTTAGGGGAAAATTAGATACTCTCCAAGAGTTATCAGCAGTGCTTTCAAATGTTGCTTTGTTGCTGTTGTAATGCCTTTAGTGAATCGGCCATAGTCTAACGAGCTAGCAGCAATGCTTTCTAGTTTCTAATACACCCAAAAGCTCCTCCCTGCACCCGAGAACAGCAAGGTGTGCATGCACACATCTGGATCAAAACAGAAAACACAATGGTCCACTGGATTTTCTGGCCATAGCTAATCTCAAGTATACCAACAAAAAGCCATGAGGTCCCAACTATTTGGGGAATGACAATGTTTTATTCAGACTCCATCATCTCCATCGGTAAACAAAACAATATTGCAAAATATTTGCTGATAATTTGTAGGTTGAAATTTTAAAGCTACATCTACATTTAAGCAGATTATTATGTGCCTTCTCTATTTCACAGTTGTCATACATTTTCTTGTCTTCTTCTCAATGTCTCATTTCTCTGTTGTCAGCAGGTACTATTGCTTTCTGGTTCCCCTTACACTACCTGTAATGATCATTTTGGTATATTTGCATTGGCTTAGTATGAAGCTCTTTAAACATGCTTGAAAAACTCCTTGTTTTCTGCCTCCACTGCAATAAGTTGCATACTTTTTGCCCCAAGGCTGGTTTCCCCCCAGAATTCTAGTTGGACTGTAAGAAGAATTATTCGAGCATTCATCCCCTTTAAAGTTTTTTTTATTCTTCAAATCAACTACTTAAATTCTACTTACTTTTCACGAGTCATAAATCATTTGACTTAATTTCATTTCAGAAGCATATTTCAAAACCTGTGGAGATTCCTTGGTGATGCGTGTGGACTTTGACCTTTCAGAGAAATTGCTGTGATGTTGATCTATTCTACAAAATGTTACAGGAGGTTGTCATTTTTATTAGAGCTTCTATCGTGCAGAGGTTTATGAAAGAGCGTATTTAGTTTGATTCACCTTCTCTCTCACACAACCCCATTATTAATCAGCAACTGGTTCATTGGTAAATATTTGATTTAATATAATCATGTGTATATGCGATTGTACTTCTACGTTGTAAAGATGGATTTGTCATATATTGTACCAGCAAGTCAGGTTGTAAACCAAAGTAGGATTAGGAATTCTATCCTCTCCTAAGAATTAAATTGATTCATAGAGCTAGATGAATTTACTGTCATTAAATTGGATATAAGTTTTTTTATATTGTATGATTATAAGATTATTATGTTAGCAAGTCAGTTATGTCATCAAATAGGACCATTTAGGAATAAAGCACGATGTTGAGACATTATTAGGCTCTCACATTACAAGGACGTCAAACCCTGTGAGAAGAATTTGAATTGTTTTAAATATTGTTTGATAATTCTATCACCATTAGCTACCCTAGTTAATGGATCACTTATTATATTGAATTGAATTGTTATTGTTTTTTTCTCTTCCTCTACTTCCTCTCTCTCTTTCTCTATGTATATCTCTTAGCTCTAAGTAACGTCTCCTTGTAACTACAAAACATAACTGTACATGCAGATATCAAAACAATTATACCAATTTGTTTTAGCGTACGATTGCCACAAACCATTTTAGTTGCAATCTATGACTATATATATATATATATTTCTGTGCAAATCTTAAAAATTTGTGGATATGTCATTGTAGCCAGTCTTCATTAATTGATCATGCTTAGTTGAAATTTAATTTGACATTAGTATCCCCATTCAATATATCAGAAAACATAAGGGGACAAATATAGTAAAGAGATTTTAGATATTTAATATTTTGGTATTTTCTGATATTTAGTGATATATGATTAACAACAGTGGATCTAAGTTTATCATAAATATTGTAACGAGTGATATATATAAAATATATTTAAGAATATAGATGGGCATATATATTTATATATAATACTAAAATTTGTAACAGCAACATGTGTTCGGTCTAACTTTGAAAGAATAGATATATAAAATCCCCAAGAATTAGTTATGGTTTAAATGCCAACTAACCAGCTAAGTAGTGGGCAGCATGAGATCCCAAAACACTAGTGGCTCGAAGAAGAGAGACGAACGGTGGATCCCTTTTAGTCTCACACGATCGCTCTAGTTGAACGGTCCAAAACGTCGAATCATAGCATCGCAATTCCGACGGCTCTGATCCCCCCTTATAATAATCTCATCGCTTTATTTCTCGCACGCGAAGTGGCCGCACAACAAGCGGGAATGCAGAGTGCTCAAACGTTCCCATTTTGCATGTTGGATCCTAACTCTTTGAGATTTACTGATTGATCCCTCGATTACTTTTATATTTTCCCTATAGAGCTCCTTTTATCATCTTATTCGCTTTCTCGGTCCGAGTGGTTCATATATATGTTTATATCTATATTTTTTTTTATATTGATATCATCAATTTTGATGGTTGACTCAAAATATAAAACTTATTGCATTACCTCGAGAGTTACAACTCAGTCGATTAGAGAATTTCACTAGAAATTAAAAAAATTATATCACGTTTCACTCTTTTCCAATATAAAAAAATTTAGGTCGAATTATATCTAATAAAATTCTTTCGACAATCAAGTTAGTATATTTTAAGTAACGATTTGATAAATTTAAAATAATAGTATAGTTGCAAAGATGGTTTTATATACTATTTATTGTATAATCATCATTGATTACAAAATATTGAATAAGTCTTGTTTAATCGAAAATAGTGGTTATAGATTTTTATTCTCCTATTCTTATATATGAGATTAATCTACAAAATTCTTGGGCTGGAATGCAAAATAATCTTTCTTTGGTTTAGTCGCTCCCTCCATCTAATTTAAAACAAGAGAACCGAGTAGAAGAGAGTTGTGGCGGTCGCGACGACGGTGAGGCGATCGTGCCGGCCTCAACTCGCGCGACGACGGTGTCGCAGGCGATTCCCTTTCTCCCTCCATCAATCCCTCTCCCACCTTATAAGACTTCCCACAAGATGACCAAGGAAGAGGGCGACGACATTTCTCCTACCATCAAACCCTCTCCATCAAGATCAAGAACAAGACCGAGAGGCGCACCCAGTTTCGCCATCGACACCTTAGGGTTGTTCCCGTGCCGTCCGCGATGGCGTCCAGCGCCCACTCCCGGGGATCGGTACGCACCGAGCGACAGGTTCCTCCCGCGAGGGGCAACGGCGGAGGGAACCCTCCGGCTCGCTCCAGGTCGTCCTCCGCCAAGCGTTCCTTGAGAGTCTCCTCCGATGATGACAAGAGTACCTCCTCTTGTTCTTTTTGTGTTTCTTTCTTATTGCTGTTCTTCATTGCTTACTTGGGTTCTTGGACGGTTCTGTTTCATGACCGTGAGAAGTGTGATTCTGGGTGATGCTAACATCGTTCCATACTTCAAGACGATGAAAACTTGTGGATAAATGATAGTGTATATTGCAGGCCTGGCTGCATTTATAGAGCAGTTTTACTCGTTACCTGATGGTTAGGAACCTTTCGTGTTGCTTAGAATTATGTAGTGCCTACTTTGAGACCAAGAGAGGAAGTCTTGATACTAGAGGGAGAAAGATCTAGAAAGACACAATTCGAGAAGCTTGGTTTAGAAATCCTAAAATGTAGATAATTATGTGGGATTGACTACTTGAGATAGGGTAGGCCTCCTCTATTGATGCTATTATTTGTTCTAGCTCTTAAATTTTATTAAGAACCTTCACTCTAGAAAGTAATTTGAAAGCTTTAAAGGCCCTGGAAATTCTGGTCCCTTTTCTAACCCCATCTCGCTTCACCTTGATGTTGAGAATCTAACTCCCATTTCCACATGGGAAATCCAAATATTCAGCCTAAGAATTACCTTATGGTACTTTGATTTTTCTCTGGTCTAGCCATTAACATTTTCAGAGACAAGATTAATTTTGTTCTTAAGTCTACCAGTTCTTTTCCTTTCTACCTTCTCTTACCCTTTTATGTTCTCACAAAAGAGGCAGATATGTTTCAGAGGGTGTTTCCATTAAAGGGAAAGACGCATCAAGTGATGCCAATTGGTCAACTATTTGCAGAAGTGAGAACTTAAATGGTTTGAGAGTAATCAATGTCAAAGATTTAAATTATACCATCATGTTGGGTAACTGGTGCTGGAGACTCCTAATAAGAGGAAACACCTTATGGAGAGAAAATTTTTAACTTCAAAAGAAGAAAAACCTTGCATGTCTCCCTTGTTTGGAGATGAAATCTTTATCAGAATAGACCCGCAAGGATTGCTTCAGATCATCTTCAGCAATGGGCAAATCATTAGATTTTGTAGGACTAATTATTTGACAGCAGTTTTATTGAAAATATTTATCCATTCATGTACTCTTCAATTCTGAGGCAGTAACTATTTGTGGCTTTGGTATTTTTAGAAGGAACTCATGATTAAGATATTACTTTGCTTCAGTGAATTGGCTTGTAGCTGAAGCTTTGTATTTGGTATTGCTCCTCCTTATCAACAAAATAGATAGGAAAAGACCCCCTTCATATTAAAAGAACATTATCTTGAGATTTTTTGTTTCTTTATTTTGTGAATTTTTAAATCTTGAAGCTAGTCCATATTGTAATTTAATATTGTGAAAGAGACACTTTCCACACTCTAAATGTTTTTACATATTTCCTTGGTAAACAGGTTCTCTTTGAGAAAAGTTGGATCTCATATGCCTCTTGCTTGCTTGTGGAGCTAATCCTGAGTCTACTAATCATATATATTTTTTGATGCATTTTAACTTTGTAGATGTGGAACCTTTTGTTCAACTAATTCAATGATGACCCTACCCTGAACTGTCACAATGAGATTTGAATGAGGTGAAGGAAATTTTACATTGCTAGAAAGTAGAGATGTTGTTGTGACAGTCTCTTTCTCTTGATTTTTTTGGTGTATTTGGAAGGAAAGGAAGTTTAGAGAAAGGATTTAAATCTTTATGCAATACTGGTTTTGGTAGCTTGTCCAACCTATATGGTATTAGTATACCAGTGTGCGTTCTTGTCACCCTCCCGGAAAATATGTATCTACATCCAGTAAATTGTACCATTAAGTTAGAAATTTGTTTAGCGCAATTCAAAAGTGCAATCAGGAGATGTTTTTGCTTTCTACTAATTTATCTTTGACAACTTTCTTTGATTTTCTTACATCTCTGTTGATTTAGCCAGTCCATTTTGTGCTATACTCTTTTATAGTCTTTTAGTTTGTCTGGTCGTATGATAATCAGCTCCTTTTATTACAGATTCTGGAAGAGTACGTGTAGCCGTTAGAGTTAGACCTAAGACCACTGAGGAAAATGATCTGGACTTTACGGATTGTGTTGAGCTACAGCCAGAGGTTCGACATTTTATTACATTAGGGTGCACTAATGTGGATATTTCTCCTGATTTAACAATTAAATCATAAGATTGATTTTTTTATCATATTAAATTCTTTAATTGATGTCTTTCAGTTGAGGAGACTTAAATTGAAAAAAAATAATTGGAGTTCTGAGTCCTATAGATTTGATGAGGTTTTTACAGAAAGTGCTTCTCAAAGGCGTGTTTATGAAGCTGTTGCAAAGCCTGTAGTGGAGGTTAGTTGTGTATATTCCATTGTTTTTTTCACTTGATGGAATGGAGATGTGCTTGCACATGCATAACAAGTCTATTTTTGAATCTTGACTAGACTTTAATTAAGAATGTGTTCCATCAGCCCTATGCCATGTCCAGTAATTTTATTTTCAATTAGAAATTAGAACTACAACTAAGTGTTCACAGATCTAATTTTTTTGTTTTATTTTTTCTTGTAATAACATGGCACTATCTCAATTTCCTCATCTGTCATGCATCTGTCTTAGGATTATGTTGAGACCATTGTGAAGTGATCTTATGTGGTGGATTTTGATTTCAATTTGTTATTTCTTGAAGTTTTATGTCATATATTTGTATATCTTCTTATGCTTCTGTGAAATGCCACTGTTTAATCATACTTTGTATTAAGGATTGAAATCTTGCTCTACCACTGAAATCAATTAGTGTTTGGACCAGTACGGTATTAATATACGAATCGGTTTACTGACATTCAGTACTGGTCAATACTAGGTGACCATATAGAGAGAGAACATGAGTAGGCAACGATGATGTGAATAGGAGGATGTGATGGCGATGTCGATGAGGAGGAGGTGACAATGCAGAGGAGGATGAGTTGGTGGAGGAGGATGAATTGGGGAGGAGAAGAAGGAATATAACAGGAGGAGGCAGAGGTGGTGAAGGAAGAGGCAGAGAATAGTAGGTGGCAATGACGAGGGAGGAGAGAAAGAGAAGACAAATATCAATAGTTGCCTATGGCTTATTAAAAAAATATCTAGTACCCCTATTGAGTCATGTTGGGAAAAGGAGAAGAAGAAGAGGAAGCAAAGGAAAAGAAGAAAGTGGTGGCGGAGGAGATAGAGAGAACAACGATCAATAGCTATCAATTCTTGAAAGAAAAGGTCTCCAATACTGGGCAATAGGATAGAGCTTGGTATTGGACAGTAGGCTTATCGCTCGGTACAGTTCAGTATCAATAAGCTTATTGTCTGGCAAGCCTGGTGTGATCAAAACTTTGAAGCTTGCTTTAGTATGAAAAATGCACCTTTTGAATTTTACAGAGCATTTGAACCTTTAATAAATCAACATATATGTTCATTTTTTTGTCAGCGTTCTATTAGTTGAAGCCTTTAAACTAAGGAATAACTTATTGTAGTTTGGTAGCCGAAATAATCTTCTGATGATATCTATGTGAATGCAACCTTCTCAATTAGTACCTAATTCTTGATTCAATTCATTCACTAGCGGAAAAGAGGCAACCTTCTTTGATGTTTATAATTGTGTAAGCTCCACCATTCCAATATCCTGTAATTCTCCTTCAGTTTCAACCTTTAAAGACACACTTATAATTTTACCACTTTCCTAGATATTAGTTTGATAAGGAAGGCAAATAATCTTCCAACTGATGTTGCATTTCTTCCAACATATGCAGGGTTCATTTATGCATCTAATACTGTGTTGTGTAACAGAGCATGAACATGTGCAATTTGATTTAAATTCGTACACCTTGCATTTGATCACTTATATCTTTACAAATGTGCACATGGGATGATGACATTGACATAATAGGAATGCAACATACAATTGAATGTATGATATGTTTCAATTATGTATATATTACAGTTCAGTTCTTTTTTAACCATACAATTGGTTGCACCTGGAGATTGTGTCAGTTACTTTCTGATGCAAATAATTTTCTAGGTGCTTCTTTAGTTTACAATATTGGGGCAGTACAACTTCATTTGGTCCTGGACTTCTAGTACTTTGTTCTTAGCTTAAGACCAATAAAAAAATATTTTTTATTAATAATTGGAAACCACAAACACTATCAGTGGGGTCAGTTGAAAAACTATCGAGTATTTTAAAAGCACCCGTTCCAAAATCAGCACCCACAACAGCACTGATATTTTTTCAGTGTCAATGTTTACGACTCCAGCCCACACCAGCACTGACCCGCATTCACCAGCAAAAACCACAAATATTTCCTTTTGTTGATGTTTGTTGGTACATGATCGACACTTCACTGCATTCACGAGAGTACTCATTGATATGTTGTCTCCAGTATAAATCCACTGAATTGCTCCAGTGGAAATGGTTCAGATGCCTTCTTATATTAGTAATCTGAAATCTGGATGCTTTTCATTGATTATATTCCTTAGAAGATGGTTTGTTAAACCTTTGTTTTTGGTACTCTAATTCACTTATTCAGATGCCTTCTTATAGTAGTAATTTGGAATCTGGATGTTTTTCGTTGCTGTTGATTATATCTCTTAGGAAATTGTTTAACTGAATTGTGTAGAATTGTATATCATATAGTTGTTCAGAAACTTGTAAAGTATATTTATCATATTTATTTTGAGATTCTTTTAGATGGGCTTATTCAATGCATCCTTCATTTTGACATGCCTTTGCAGAGTGTTTTAGATGGGTATAATGGGACTGTGATGGCTTACGGTCAAACAGGCACTGGTAAAACTTACACAGTTGGTCGACTTGGGAAAGATGACCCATCTGAACGTGGTATTATGGTTAGAGCTTTGGAGGATATTTTTGCTAATATATCTCCTGGCTCTGATATCATGGCGATTTCCTACTTGCAGGTTTGTGAAATAGAATCTCTGCTACCTTGTTCTTTTAGCATTGTGCACTTGTATAGGCTTTGTATAAGTGTTGCATTATACTTGTTTATTCATTATTCCTGGCCAGGACATTTTTTATAAACTCGAACTTGGTAGAATGCAGTTGAAGAGTATATTATTCATGACTCATGAGTTCCATTACCTGCTTCATTATATTGGACCATATAGTTTTTAGCCAAACATTGTAAGTTTCAGATAATAACCAATCTTCCTGCCAAAAGCGTTGACTTGGTTTTGTCCAGTATTACCAGTTTTGGTGGTTTCAATCATTGGTTTGATGTTTTGGGCAACAGACTTGTGATCTCTGGATCAGTGATTTAAAAGCGTTAGGCGTCGAGGTCCAAAAACGCCCGAGGCGCTAGGCGCTCGCCCGAGCGAAGCGAGGCGCTAAAATATAAAAATATATAATATAATTAATAAATATAATTATTTAAAATTAAAAAAATATGCTATTAAATTAAGAAAGGGAGCGGCGAGCAGCGGGAGGCGCGAGCGGCGACAGAGGTAGCGTTTGCGAGCAGCGACAGCGGCGAGCAGCGGGAGGCGTGAGCGACGACAGAGGCAGCGTTTGTGAGCAGCGACAGCGGCAGCGGGAGCA